AATATTTTTCACACATTTGTGTACTGAAGAACCTATGAAGTCTAGTAAGTACACAGGGCAGGAACTCTACCACAGTGTAACTCTCTGCTGCCTTAGCATAGCTTTCTGGCTGACTCTATTTCCCCCTTTCTGTCTACTTAGAGAAAATACATTTACAAAGTTGTCTGATGATGCAAGAAGGACAGTTCTAATGAGCTTCAAAGAAACACCAGTTTAGGTATGATCAGTGATATTTAGCTGTCTGGACAGATGATTTTGACAATCCTTCTGGATCCCTGGATCTTTCCCATCACCTTCGTTAGTCTGTTCAGATCTCCCAGCACAAGATTTTGACTCTGATATCCAAATGTGTATTCTTTAGAAGAAGTGTAATACCTGTTTGTCTTACTAAGATAGATGTCTAAGTCATCTATCATTTGAAACAAACTATCTTTTCCTATTACAGATATAGAAGATTATGCAATTTTTTAAGTGTTTCCTCTTTTTAGAAAAAACTACATTATTAAGAAATTAGCGTGGAGAAAACTTGAAATTAATTAAAATCAGTCACTATTGTTTTAAGAAGCAACTGTTGACTATGTTGTGCCTAAAGACAAATGACTAGTGACTAGGAGCTTTGCTTAATCAAAGTAAGAAATAAACAAAATTTGCAGAGTTAGCTGATTCTGCCTGACATACACAAACGCACTTCCAGTCTTCCCCGGCTGTCTACAACGAGATCAGAAGTAATTTAGTATGAGTCAGGTGGAGGTGAAGCAAAACAGTCAAATGTACTTGTATTTGCAAGCAGTGTCCATCAAAATCCTCCAAGAATGGCTGGATTTGAGTAAATGCTGAGCTTTTCATAGACAGCTCCTAAACATTCACTGATCTAGCATACCAGATACAGTTCAGAGAATCTTGCTTTATACAGAGATGCAGATTTTCATTTAATCTTATTATTCAGAGACTGTATTCCTTTTTACTTGCCCAAGTGTAACACTATATGGTTATGTAAACTGATGCTTACATTGAGATGTTATTTTGACATGCATTTTGGTGCCATATATAAACCTTAAAGGTGTGTAATAACCACCCTTAGTACAGGTCCCAGTTCCTTTTAGGAAAAGAAAATTTTGTGGTTTTTTTTTTTTTTGACAAAATGGCAATGTGAATTTAGATTTTTGCACAACTGAATTGCAGTTTGTAACTGAAAGTAGCGCGCCCAATTAGAAGTTGGGTAACAGTGGATTTGTTGCCTGACTCTACCAATAATTGCCTTAATATACCATTCACTTCTTAATTATGTTATCAATTATTTTACTATAAATTAGCTATTGTGAGCTTCAGGTCTTTTTGCAATGTCTGTGTTAGGTTACAGGAGCATAAATCAAACTCCCATCTCTTTTTACATCCATAACCATAAATTATGCCTTTTATTAGGAAATGTTAAGTGTCCTATAATGTCTTCTTAATGGACAGTGTGTGCATGTGTTGATGAGGAAAGCCATCTTCCTTCGTGCAAAATATTAATGCATGTGGCCTACGTCTCCATAGATACACGTTAAAGAATCATATTTAACCTATGAAATATTCAGAGTACTCATATTTATCGAGCCTTAACAATCCTCTAAGGAAAGAACAAGTTAGAGGTAAATCAGGAGCTGAATTCTAACAGGTATGCACAAGTGATTGTGAATAAATGGTACATCATCCACTCAAAAAAAAAAAACCCCAACAAAGCCAAATCATTTTATAAAACACCTATTGCTAAATGGAAATACCCTTAGAGAATTGATATCCTTCTAGAATTCCAGCCTGTGCATCACAAAGACTCCTAATATTGCTTATAAATTTTTGTGCTTCTCCTAAAATATTATAATGTCTCTAAGCAAAAGGGTGTTTTAACCTCTGTATCCTTTTCATTGGGACAACATTATCCGTTTGGCTTTCAAACCATTTCCCAAAACCTTGAACAAGCACATTACTTTCACTTGAAATGTGTTTTACCGACAGATTCCTGGATACCAGAAAGATCTGCTATTCACATCACCTGCTAACACCGGGCTTGATTAATGGAAACCAAGCATTTTGAAGGATACCCTCCAGCCTTGCCTTTCCCTTTCCTTGTTCCCTTGGCAGAAATCTGAAAGCTGCAATACAACAGCATCATCTTTCCATCTTGTTGTAAATACTCTATTATTCCTTTATCCTCCATGCTGTTTAAAGGACTTAATTTAAAACATGAACTCCTTTGTTCAGGGAGGAAGTCTCCAAATGGTGTGCAAACAAGAATCTTTAGAAATGCAGCAAGATATAACTCCAGGCTCTGCTCCAGCTTTTCCCATTCATTCAGTTTGCAGACCTGGTGTCTCCCTGCTGGAGATCTCTGCTCAGACCAAGTCTCTGTCAGCTGCTATTCCACCACCCATTCATACATGGCCAGCTCCCCTCTCCCTGCTCCTTGCATTTCCACTTCTCTTTCCTCCATCCATCCAATTTTCTCCCTAATCTGATCTCACTTCTTTGATCCTTCTCAGGAATACTGATCACCCTCCCCCACCAAAGCACCACTCATCGTTACCGGATGGCTGGCAGAAATTATGCTCGTAACAAAGGTACATTTAAGAGTAGAGCCTATGCCAACCAATTTCTTTATGAAGGCACTATTCTCCATCTTTTTCCCTAGTTATCAAATTGACTATCTTGGGAGTTAATCCTGCTGCTGTTCCTCAAGCAAATGTTTTCAGTACTTCTGATTTCAGGAGCAGAGTCAGGCCCTAATTAATGTAATTATTCTCATAGCATGAGGAGGTGCCTACTTAAAGCAGTCGAATGACTGTTACAGACCATTTTTATCCACACTTATGCTGTGAGCTGCACCAGTGTGCATTCTCTTTCCAAAACAACCGCAGGCACCAGGAGGGAGGAGTTGTCCTTCAGTAGCAGGCAAGAAACCTGTCAAATACTGTGTCCCTTCTACATGAATGAAACCTTTTCCTCTGATTAATACTTTGCATTTCCCACAAGGGAAAAAGACACAGAGTTAGCAGCTGAATTACCCATTTTCAGAGAAGCATGTTCATAAATATTTAACTTGGTATGTATGAGAAAAGAGAAAGGCACTGTCTCCCTTTCCAGTCCAGGCTGAAACTCTCCAAATCCCCTGGTACCACTGGGAATGCCTGCTCCCATAATCCTTTCCCCATCTCGTAAAGGGGAGAGAGCCATTAGCTTGTAAGAGAGCTGGACAAGGTCTCTTTTTACTGGGGGATGTCTGACTGTAAACATCTATGCACAGGGGGAAATTACCTGGTGTAATGGAGACCTCTCTGGCCTACGACCGGGACCCTGCCCCAAGCTATTCTGGGAGTTTTAGGAGCCTGTTAGAAAACAAGGGTCTCTGGAGGCCCACATCTGAGTACACAAGCTCAGGCCTTGGTGTCTACCTGTTCCCCATGCATGGGGCCTGCTTGAGAGTGTGGGTTGCATCCCCATAGACCCCACGTGATTTTTGTATGGCCACACACATGGATGCTCTGCTCTGACAGCGGAGAGAACCCTGGTGATGCTGGGAGGAAGTGGGACCACAGGGAGGTTGGAGTGTTTTGATGAGGGTGCTGATTGCATAGCTTACCCTTGCATATCTGGAGGAGTACGGATCCTCAAAGAGCGCCCAGATGCGGGGCTGCCACCGTCTCCAGAAGCCCCCAGACCTGCCATCTGGGGAGTCACTAAGTGCTAGGCGTTTTGTCATCTCCAGCTCATCTTCACCATCACCAGAGTCTCCGGTGCCATCTATGTCTCCGTCCTCAGCACTGCTATCCAGGGGAGCCCCACCAAAGCTGTCCAGAGCCTCTTCGGCGTCGCGGTGCTGCCGGTATGTCATCCAACAGCAGGGCTCCACATCGGTCTCATCGATGCCCCAGAAGGCCAGCTCCTCCTCATACAGGGGCCCGCACACGTCCGCGGGGCAGTGCAGCTTGCCAGTGCGGTAGTAATTCAGGATGTGGGCGAAGACGCCCGGGTGCCGGTCAAAGAAAAACTCATCCGTGCGGGGGTCATAGTCAAAGTGGCTGTGGGCATCGGGCTCAGCGATCCAGGCCAGCCGCGTGCCGGGCAGGGTGCGCAGGGTGCTGCGGTAAGTCTGGTGCCTAGTCCCTCCCACGTTGATCACAATGCGGTCGCTCTCGTCGCCCTGGCCCATCTCGTCTCTTATTAGGCATGTCGCAGACTCATCCAAGCAAGCACGGCAGGCAGCAAGCCCGTCAGGGGACGGCTGCTCGGCGGCAGTCGGTGCCTAAGCCGAGCCCCGCTCCGGGCCCGCGGGGGCGAGGGGCCCCGGCCAGCCCCGCTCCCCCGGGGCCGCTCCGAGGCGATGCCGGTGGCGGTGGCTGCCGGCGCTGCGCCGCCTCCGTCTGGAGTCAGACGCTCGGGGTCCGCGGCAGCTGCAGCCGCGGCGGAGGGGCAGGGGCAGGGGGGGCCATGCTCCGGGAGCGCGGGCGCTGCGGTGCCGGAGGGGGAGGGCCCTTCCCTGGTTGGACGTGGCCAAAAGCACAAGGGAGGAAAAAAAAAAAAAAAAAAAGGAAAAAAGAAAAGGGGGGGTGGGGGGAGGAAGAAAAATCACGGCACCGGCGCTGCCCACAGGTGCTGGTGCTGGCTGCAGCCCCCGCGGGGAACGCGGCGCTGTGCCCGCGCCCCTCCCGGCGGTGCGGGGCGGGGGGCGCCGCCGGTGCTGAAGGGACAGCGCCGCGCTCCCGCCGCCTCCGCCCCTGCGCAC